CACTAAGAATAGCAAGGGATATAAAATCTTGCCGCCATATTTGCGAGTTATACAAGGTGATGGTATCAATTACGAATCTACAGGAAGGATACTTGAGGCGCTGAAGGTAAGTGAATTATCGGAAATATTTGATGAACTTATGGTTTGATTTGCGAATTTTTACTTTGCAGCAAGCCGGCTGGAGCACCGATAATGTGGTATTTGGTGCAGGAGGTGCTTTGCTACAAAGAATTGATCGTGACACACAAAAATGTGCGTTCAAATGCAGTCATGTTATTGTTAATGGCGAACACGTGGGTTTCTCTACTTCTTCTTTGCGTTCTTCTTTTTTTCCATTTGTCGAGAAAATTGACATGTTTAGAGAGACGTTTACAAGAACCCGGCTACTGATAAGGAGAAACGTTCAAAGAAAGGTTATCTCACATTAGTGCGGAATGCTTCTGGTTCAATAGAAACTGTCCAAGAAGGACAAGGAGATCCGAGAGAGGTGTGCTTTGTTGCCGGTTTGATGCAGTGTACTTTGTTTCAACAAGTATGCTCTTTGTTCCAGGATCTTCTCCAAACAGTTTTTGAAAATGGTAAATTACTCGTCGATTGGACCTTAGACGAAATTCGAGAGAGGGCTGAAATTGATCTGGTGAAGATGAAGAAGAAGAAGTATGTCAATGGAGTTCATAAAGGCAATGGCGATAGTATTGACTAGCTGCCCCTTCTTCGTGCAATTTATACATTCCAGGTTTTGAATAGTCACTGTTCCTGTTAATCCTCATGGTCAAAGTGCTTACCAATATATTAAATAACTCCCATTCACTCAGGGACTCGTTAAGCTTAGAATTGTTGTTGTGAGATAAGCATCTCCTCTCTATTTATCATTTCCCTTCATGATCCTCGTTCCATGATCTGTTATATGCTATACTTGCTTCTTATCCGGTATTGAGTTTCCTACCTAACTATCACTCGATTTACTAGATTTTAGTCTAGGGAGTATTCCATAGTTTATGCAGGGTGACCTAGTGTATACGTAGTGTTGTGAAGTAATTTTTGCTCTATTTTCCAAGATAGGAACTTCTAATCAATAACTGAGCTTCATTATATGCATTTTTAATGCAATATTGGGAAATCAGTTTGGTAGAAGGGTT